TTTTTTTTTATCTTGCTGAAATGATAAAGATTTTGGGTATTTGAAGAATTAATTAAATGAATAATTTTTATTAAAAGGAAGATTATTATAAATATAATAATGTTGTTATAATTGAAAACGATTGAAGGATAATTAAGTAATTGAAGTTGTAAATCTTATTAAGGGTTTCAAATGACTTTTTACAGGGTAGCTTCATGAAATGACAGAATTAATTTGTTAACTTTACGTGGGAATTTTTTTTCTTTTTTTCTTTTTTTCTTTTTTGTATAAGTAAGGGATGGTGTTAAACTATCTTGCTGAAATGGTAAAGATTTTGGATATTTGAAGAACTAACTAAATGAATAATTTTTATTAACACGGAAGAGATGGATTGTTTAAGTTTAGACTTTGGAGTTAGAGATATTAATATTTGTGTACTTGTATTTGAATATTAGCCTAGGTTGGTTTGGGAAGTCCGGGGGGTGGGGGGATGGGATATAACATTGTGTAATATCTGTGATGTACTTCTTTTTTTCTATGATAAAAACAATAAAAAATTTTATAGAAAAAAAAACAAAAAAAAAACAGTTTGTCTTCTGGTAAGCTGGACTTGTGTGGTTTGCAACTGTTTTAGGAAGGCACAAGCCACAGCAGTTCTTCCCTGGCCATGCTCACAACAACTCCTCAACAAATGGAATTTCCCAAATTCCAATTTCCAAACTTTCCCCAGTAGTTGAAATCCCTTCACCTTGCAACATGCACCCCAAAAAAACACCTAAAGCTGCCCTTTCTGTTTGTCCCAAAATGTGGCCAGAAGCAGAATCAAGAGCATTAGAATACAGCAGGACAGTGTTTCTCAGCCTTGGCAGTTTGGAGATGTGTGGACATCAACTCCCAGAATTTTGCAGCCAGTAAGGCTGGCTGGGGAATTCTGGGAGTTGAAGTCCACACATCTTTAAACTTCCAAAGTTGAGAAACACTGTAATGAGAGATACTTCGTGCTGTAGGAAGTTCATGTTTTGGCTTCTTTTAACTTACTGGCTTCCTTGAGCAGCAGTGTATGATTTTTTGAGACCCGAGGAGGACCGTCCCTAGGCACGCTTTCTACCCAGACAGTAACATTTCTTAGAGCATAGAACGTGTCCGTATTAAAAATAAAGTGGGTGGCCTTTTCAACCTCAAATGTCTTTTTCTTCCCTTCTGTTTGATCCCTGTGGGCGAGAAAGGGGAAAGAGAAGTTTGATTAGCTATTAAAGCAGTGTTTCTCAACCTTGACAACTTTAAAATGTGGGGTCCTTAGTGCTCTCCTAGTTTGGTGGTTTTCTTGCAGACGTTTCATTACCAAACTAGGTAATGTCATCTGTTCAACATGGAGTTACAGCTATTCTCTTCAATCGGTATTTTAAGATGTGTGGACTTCAACTCCTGGAGTTCTCTGGCCCCGGCATGCTTACGTCCACACATCTTAAAGTTGCCAAGGGTGAGAAACCCTCCACTAAAGCAAGAAAAAGGAATGCTTCAATAGTAACCTGAGAAAAGTAGCCATCTGGCCACAAAATCTCTTATATTGTGGCAGAAAAAAACTTCCCAGTCAGAATTTCTTTCTGTATCATGCTGGTTTGTTTTCCTCTTTTGCAAAATTGATGTATAGCCTAGCCTTCCAATTCTCAGCAGTTTACAACAAATGAGAGAAAATAGAAATAAAATCAAAAAATCCATTTATGGAATAATAGACAAGACTATTAAAAGCTCCAATAGACCCAGTGTGTTTGAATGATCTCTTGGAGAAGGTTGGTTTGGCCATTTTTGAAGCATCAAAGCAGGGGCACCTTTTAACTCATGCCGGAGAGAAGGGAATGCTTCTGAAATGAATTTTTATTTTTTAAAAATTTGTATCCCGCCTTTATATATTTTTTTCATAAATAACTCAAAGTGGCAAACCTATCCAATATATCTTCATCTTATTTTCCCCATAGCAACAACTTTGTGAGATGAATTGGGCTGAGGGAAAGTGACTGGCCCAAGGTCACCTAGCTGTCTTACACGGCTAAGGCTGGACTAGAACTCACAGTCTCCCACTTTGTAGCCTGGTGCCTTAACCACTAGACCAGGGGTAGGCAACCTTGGCTCTTTTATGACTCGTGGACTTCAACTCCCAGAATTCCTGAACCAGCATGGCTCAGCTTGGAAACCTCTCCCTTTCCCCTCAGCATGGCTGGCTCAGGAATTCTGGGAGTTGAAGTCCACAAGTCATAAAAGAGCCAAGGTTGCCTACCCCTGCCATAGACCAAACTGGCTCTAAGTTTGAAATAGTCTACCTTCAGCTCCCAACCCTCCAATTTCTTTCTCGGTGGGCATCCAGAGCATCATATTGCTGTAATGAGTGCTTGGAAAAGGCTAGATATAAAGACAGGTAAGTTTTAAGATTCTATATGAGACCACTGGTGAACATTGAAATGGCCCCAGTCCACTCAGGGTTATTTAATATAAACACGGCTTTTGCACTATTCAGTATGTGAAAACTAGCTGCACTTTCTGATGAATGTGAAAGTTCTGGTTGTAGTTACAAAGGATTAATTAAATACATCAAGGTCTTTTTTTTTCTTTTTCCCCTTCTACCCCATACTTTCCCCTTTTTCCTCTCCTAGTTTCCCATTATTCTCATTTTCTTTGCATTTTGAATTCTGATAAACTAATAAAAAATTTAAACAGGGAAGATGAATTAAATACAGGTTGGCAATGTATTCAACACAGCACTGCCTTAAAAGTATTTATGGCTCTTTAGCCTCAGGAGGATGAGAGAAAAAAGTTATAAAATGTGAATAAAGAAATACATCCTCACCCCCGTCCCAAGAATCCAAGATCAGCAAGTATAGACTGGAATCAGGAGTAATAAAAGCATTTTTTTTAACACAATGCATAATTAAAGCAGGGGATTTGTTGCCAGGAACAGTAGCAATGGCCACCAGATCAGATATACTGTATATATATAATGCACCATGGAATCATTTTCAATATATGCACTAAATCAGGGAGGGAGGGAGGGAGAGAGAGGGAGAGAGAAGGAAATTTATAACAGAGCATCAACATGTTTGGGTCAGCATTCACCTAAAGTTGAGGATGTAGTTGACATCTTCTTTACATCCAGTCTCCCAGGAGCAGTTCATAAGACAGTGGAAGGATGCTTCACAGCAGGGCTTGTAGCAAATCAAATTTCGGGGAGCACAATTGCTGGGATCTGCAAACATAGGACAAAGAATGATATTCCTGGAAATCTTGGAATTAGGAAGTAGTAATGTAAGGTGTTATTTATTTAGGACCACCCTTATCCTGTTTTTCCCATAGAATACAGCTCACTTTGGCCAATTGTCAAACAACATCCACGAAAATGCAAACTAAAAATATGCTAATACATGCACACAGACACACGTATGCACGTGCACACACACACACACACACACACACACACACACACACACACACCCCAAAGCCCCAAAGAGAGCTAAAGATAATATCTACAGCAAGCAGAAATCGTAACATCAGATTATAACCCTTTACTTAATGAATGGAAAGTTTACTAAATTTCTGCTCTTTTTACAGTTACAGTTATTTGAGTTAGCTGCCCAGATTTATTTGAGTAAAATGGGTGGCCACACTGATATGCAGAAAAACGGATAAGGTGGCAACACTTTAAATCGAGGAGTTTTGCATTCTCCTTATTCCTCCTCCCTACATCTTTTTAAGGAAACTCCCAAGCAGAGGAGAAAGTTATTCTAAATTTATTTTAGGTATTTATTTATAGGCAGTCCAATTCTCCTCCATTTCTATTTCATAGCAGATGGCAGATTAACAAAGAGCACTTGAAAGCATGAAAGGAAGCTATGGTTTCTGTATCAGCATGGCTGGCTTTATCGCTTCCTGGTCTTCCCTCAAATGAGATAAACTTACCGCTCAAGAGCTCTGGTGCAGCCAACCACACCATCACCACCACTGCAACGACAACTTGTACCATCTTCAGTATCTTCCAGCTTGAGTGATGGGTGTTTCTCTCCTCCTAGAGGTGCTGGTTATTGCAGGGTCTATTGTCCCTTGCAGAGAAGTCTGCCCCTGGCTCCTGATGGGAGGCAGGTACACCTGATCTGACAAGGAGGGCCTCCCTTGGCTGATTCAACTCAATGGTCTCTCCGCTCGAGGCACTTTCATGGAGAGCTGTGCACGTTATTCTGATTTTCTCTTTCACTTTGCTTCCAGCAAAGTGTTAACCACATATTGACTCAGCAGCACACACACATACATGCACAGATCTGTGTTCTTTCATGAAGGATGGGGTGTTTGTGCATACCGTGTGAGCTAATTTGCAGAAACAGCTCTGCTTCTTCTTTCTCACAAGGAAAACCTACTAGTGTGAGACCTAGAACAAGTTTCATACGCTCTGGGTTGATGTAGACTACTTCTGAGTTGTGAGGTTTCATTTAGTAACCTTGTCATGCACAAACTTCACCAATGTCTTAGCTTGCATATCTCTGGCCCGTGGATATAAGGTTTTGTGGCACGTTAAAAGCTAAAAAAAGAGATTAACAAACTGGAATCAGATTTGTGTGCAGGCTTTGAATTATGATCCCCTTTTAGCAGATGCATGCAATGATGTTAACAACCATCGTTTTGTGGAAGGTTAAGATTAATAATCTAATTTTCATGGTTTGTAAGCTGCAGTCATAATATATACTCTGCCTGGTTGCTGAATTCTGTGGTGGCACAATAATGGAGCCATTAACCAAAGGGACTGGATTCACACAACATGCTAAGCCACAAAAAACTAATCAAGCCAATCATGTGCTAATAAACTAGTCAGTTCTTTACAAGCTCTGGTTAAACATATTGTAAATACTCAACTGCATTCATATTTTATAATCTTCTCTTCCCCGGCCTTGCTTATATACCAGGTTAATCTTGAGCTATCTGGAGGATGAAACAAAAGGTACTCTGTGAAAAAACATGGAGATAACAAATTATATGTTCTCCGTGTTATCTAAGAAAGCAGAAGAAAGATTCCTGTAATAATCAATGTTTTCCTTTGGTAAGAAAAGGAAAACATCTTCTCAATCTACACTAGTGTGTTTTTTTCAAGAGTGGGGGGAAGCCCCACCTTGTAGTGGGTAGAAAGCCACATCCCTTGAATATGTCAGTCTTTGCAAAATGTCTTAACTGGGTCAGAAATGTGGTGAGTAGCTGAAGTGAGTCAGATTTTCCCACACTTTCCTGTCCCAATTACCGGGGGGAGGAAAAAGCAGTTTTATTCACTTGTGTTCTTGGTGGGGAGGATATATTGGTCCACTGGAACTGCAAGAGACCATATCAGCCAATGGCGCACTTTGTTTATTAATCTATTAATGTATTATTTATTAAACTTATATGCCACCCATCTCACTATCAAGCAACTTTGGGTAGCTCATGTTTATTCATTTATTACATTTATACATGCAGGAGAATGCAGAACTGAGGGGCGGAATTAAATGTATCATCAGCTTAGAGTCCTTACCAATTTAGCGCTGTTACAGATAGTCCTCGACTTACGCTTAATGATCTTTCAAAGTTACAATAGCGCTGAAAAAACTGACTTATTACCTTTTCTCACATGCACCGTGGCAGCGTCCCTATGGTCACGTGATCAAAATTCAGACACTTAGCAACTGACCATATTTATGACGGTTACTGTATCCCAGGGTCATGTGATCCCCTTGTCTGACTCTGACCAGCAAAGTCAATGGGGAAGGCAGATTCAATTAACAACCATGATACTGTTAACAACTGCAGTGATTCACTTAACAACTGTGGCAAGAAAGGCTGTAAAATAAGGCAAACCCCCCCGTCTTGCTTAGCAACAGAAATATTGGGTTCAATTGTGGTCATATGTTGAGGACAACCTGTAGTTGATTAGGTTCTTGTATATATAGGCTTGAATGACTCTTCTTCGTAAAGTGAACATAAAGATTAAACCAGAAACTTTAAATGGAAAGAGAACTGGGGAAAAAATGGAACTCTGATTTTATATATGGTGACGGCAGCAAGATCGCTCTATGCACAAAAGTGGAAAGATGCCTCGATTCTTACCATGGATGAAGGGTTACAAAACCTGATGGAATTAGCAGAGATGGCCAAATGGACTGTGCTGATAAAAGAAAAGAACGTAAGAACTTTTGTTTCTACTTGGAAACCGCTTCTGGACTTTGTGCTTGAGGTGGAAAAAAATGATATCATGATTTTGGGTTTTACTGATTAGACTGATTTGCCGACACAGAAATGGCTAGGACACTTATTTATCACAAAGTGCCAGGGCATTGTGGTGCCCTCAGGGGGGCATGGATCTACATGATCCAGAACAGCTGCCATTGTCACGGCAGACTGGGTGGGCGTGGCTGGGGTGGGCATGGCCACCTCAATGCTGCTCATGGGGGAGACGCCTGTGGGGCTGGGAAGGGTTGGGGGAGATCCAGGGGGACTCTGGTGGGTGTGGAGGCCGGCAGGAGGCCCAGCATAGATGGGGGAGGCATGCAATTCTAGTTGGGACTGGGGGGTCATGGCACCGATGGGGATCCGGCTTTCCCTGCTCGGGGTGGCCTTTGGCTTGCTGGGTGTGGGCCGGCTCTACCACCTCTACTCGAGCTGGCTAGCTGGTCGCTTCGCCTCCTTTATGCTGGGTGCGCTGCCACCTCAGGTGGCAGCCGCAGCCTAATGGACCTGCACAAGCTGCTGGCAGCGGTGGCACGCGTGCCCACAGAGAGGGCTCCGAGTGCCTCCTCTGGCACGCGTGCCATAGGTTCGCCACCACTGGGCTAGTGCATACCACTATAGAAATGTAAAAAGTTAAGATTTGATTTTAATGTCTGATTTTATTGCAACAGAGAGAGTCAGAAGTCGATCCCGCTTGTCTCTTCTCCTCCCTTTCTTCACACCTTTTTCGTTTTCCCTTTTTCTACTGTTGTCCCCTACTATTTGCTTTTGTATTTTCACATTTTATGTTATAAATAAATAAAACTAAATAATAATAATAATAATAAAAGAAACTTCTATGTTTCAACTTAACATACAGTCCTGATCCTTTACTCCTATCAATTTTTTTCTGACTTGGCTAAACAGTTACCTCTCTGGTGCTTGAGGGCAAGAAAAATGTTTCCTTTCCCACTGTTGCCCCTTGAAATTGGAGGCATGCTGCCCCCATCCCCTTAGAGGAGCATTCAAACATCAAGACAAATAGCCTATTCCGAAACCTGAACTAAGATGCCTTGTAGTTCTGGTCCAGATAGCATAAACTCAACAAAAATGATTTTAAAACAAATATTTATTGTCCAGGAATTCTAAGCAAAGACTTACTATGCTGTAGATACGTCCGGTCTTGCATATCTGTCCATTTTCATAGGTAAAAAGCGATAATTCTCCATATCAGCTGAGCGTGGTTACAGATGCCATCCATGCATGTACAAAGGGATTTTACAACCCTGGCACATAACAGGATGTTCTGCAATAAGTTTTTAACTCCTCCCACTGTCTAGATAAGCTACAGGATTAACTAATACCTGAACTACATTCCCCATAAGCCATCTCTTAAGGAAACAGTGTTTAACCCTTGAAATGCTAAATGCTCTAACATACAGTTCTTTTAAGGATACAACATTAACCCTATAAATGCTAAATGCTCTAACGCAGTACTTAAGCTAATATATGCTCTGGCCAGATGGTTACATACTGGTCCAGCACATAGTCCTTGATAGGCCAGTCCTTCGTGAATTTATCCAATCATCTTCTAAAATCATCCAGGTTGGCAGCCATCTGTCACTGCATCTAGAAGGAATGAATGTTGGAGTTTAATTCTGAACTGTGAAAAAGAGTGATTTCTGTTCTAAATCTCCTTACAATCAACTTCCCTACTCCTAGTGTTTTGAAAGAAGATAAATCTCTCCCAATTCATTTCCTTCATCTCTGCATGATTATATAGCCCTTAATCATGTCCCACTTCAATTCCCTCCCCAAACTAAATAATTCCAAAAGATTTAGCTTGTCTTTTGGAAGGTGTTTGCACCTGCTCTTAATGTCAGTTGCCCTCTTTTGCACATTTCCAGCTCTATTGTATCCTTACAATAGAATTGTATGCAATCAGAATTGTATACAGATGTGGATATCCCCTACATCCATATAAGAACATTACAGTGTTAGCATGTTTATTCTTGGTCCCATTCCTGATGAAAGAGAGAGCCAGTTTGGTGTTGTGATTAAGGCAACAGGCTAGAAGCTGAGAGACAGTAAGTTCTGGTTCTACAAATTAGGTACAAAGCCCTTTTGAGTGACCTTGGGCCAGTCACTTTCTCTCAGCTCTAAAAAGGAGGCAATGGCAAATCACTTCTGCAAGAAATCTTACCAAGAAAACTGCACAGACCTGTCCAGGCAGTCAGCAGGAGTTGATATTGATTTGAAGACACCGACACAAATACTCTTGATTCCTAGCATAACATTTGTTCTTTTTTTTTTTTTTTGCAGTTGCTGCATACTGTGCTGACATCTTCTTGAAGTTATTCACTGTGACCCTGAGACCTCTCCCCTGAGTAGATGCGGAATGCTCAGGCTCTGTTAGTGTATATGCGAAATTGGAGGTTTTAGTCTCAGTGTATAACCCAGGGGTCTCCAACCTTGGCAACTTTAAGACTTGTGGACTTCAACTCCCAGAATTCCTCAGCCAGCCAAGCTGGCTGAGGAATTCTGGGAGTTGAAGTCCACAAGTCTTAAAGTTGCCATGGTTGGGGACCTCTGGTATAACCCATTCCCAAAGGTCTGATAAAAAGGCACAAATGGCCAGGCTTAAATTATTCTACTTCGGATTCATTATGTGAAAACCCAACTCTTTGGAAAAGGCTCTAATGCTGGGAGAGGTTGAAGAAAAAAGAAGAGGGTGGCCAGCAGTCAGACGGATGGACTCAGTAATAGTGGAGATGTGTGGGGGGGTGTCTGTTGGAAGACCTG